GCCGCTACACTCCCAAGCGCTGCACTCTCCCGAGTGCACCACGGGGCTGGCCCATAGATATAAAAATTCTACTTAAAATGTTATCAAGTCAATTCCAAAGGTTTAAATCTATAATATACCATATGTAAATAAAGCTTATTCCAGGAATGCTAGAATGGTTTCACATTGGAAAACAAATATAATTTGTTAACTACAAAGTTAATATGATGAATGCTAAAATGGGATTTGTAAAATTCTACATTTATTCCTATTTATTTAACTTACTTAAATAAATTATTTCTGCAGTCTCAATGGTAGCCTCATATTTGTATTCCAGGCTCCCATTAGTACTGGAGATATAGCCCTGTACTCATCTGTATTCCACCTAACTTGTCCTCTAGGAACTAGGTCCCGAATCCTGCATTCCAACCTCTGATACAGGATCAGCCAAGCCAGATCAACTTGGAACATTCCCACTATAAGAAATCCTGACTGTGTCTGAGCTGCCTGCTGCCCTATACATCCACCATCAGATTGGGTCCCTTGAGCAGATATCTGCCCAAATCAGAGCCAACATTTCTGTGCCCTGAGTACCTCCCAGGAGTCAGTTCCTAAGCCATGGCCCTATGGCTCTGGGCTGACTGCCCATCACTTCCTAGTGCAACAGACTTTGCAATGGAGCCATGAAGACAATGACTCTTGGTTGGCTAATCTCAAGTTCCTCCTTCTATTTCTGGGGGCAATTCTGAAAAAAGGAGATGAAGCAGTAGTGAAAGAATGTTCAGCAAGACCTATGAAAATAGTTACTTCCTACAAACTCACTACTATAGACAAAGGCCATTCCTGACTTGATACCTGCAATGTTATCAAATAACAATGCTTAGTTTATCTTTGCTACACCATTTTCCCTATTCCCCCCATTTCTCAACCTCCAACTTCTAAACAAGATCCATTAGATCGTAAGCTCCCTGTGACCAGAGAAGGTCTGCAACCTTCCCAATGCACACTGTGCATCTTGAATGAATGTGTGTCACTGGAGAAAGATACTTACCTTGAGCTTAGCTATCTGCCCCACGACAGAGCCCACTGCTCCTGCTGCTGCATTA